GGGGTGGCCGGGAGTGGCCACTGCCTCCAGTCTGGGCAACAGAGTGAGACTCCAACTCAAAAAAAAAAAAAAAAAAATTTGGGGCCAGACACAGTATGCTCACCCCTACAATCCCAGAGCTTTGGGAGACCAAGAGAGGAGGATCACTTGAGGCCAGGAGTTTGCGACCAGCCTGGGTAACATAGTGAGACTCTGTCCATACAAAAAAAATTTTAAAGTTAGTTGGGCTTGGTGGTCGATGCCTGTCGTCCCAGCTACCCAGGAGGCTGGGGCGGGACGATCACTGGAGCTCCCAAGAGGTCAAGGCCACAGTGAGCCATGATGGCGCCGCTGCACTCCAGCCTGGGCAACAAAGCAAGTCTCTGTCTCAAATAAATAAATTAATTAAATAAACATTTTGAACTACCAGTCTAGCTAGAAACCGAACTCCAAAATAGCGTGGTGAACCCTGAAGTTGGGAAGAGGCCGTGGCTGTGGAACCCCAGGGGAACAGTGGCTTGCCTCGTGGGAGGAGGTCCAGGAGGTGAGGAGGCCGAGAAGGAAAGGGGGCGGGGTACGGAAGCCTGAATCCTGATCCCGTGGGGAGAGTCTCCCGCAACCTGCTCTGAGCCTCCCACTGGGATCCATGGCATGTGCAGACACAGGCTACTTGCTTTGAGATCCCCATTTATTTGGAAAGAGGCGGAGGGGGAGGGAAGAGGCAGCGGGGCTGTGAGTCACGCAGGCCCCGAGAGCGGCTGCTGGGAGGAGGAGGGAGCGCACAATGACTTCCTGCCTTTCTCTGGGCCCTTCCACAACAACACACACTCCAGCACACACATGGCCTCCGTCCATCCGAGATGGCCCTGTCCCCGCTCGTGGGAAAGGAATTGGCGAGGAGCACCCCGGGCTATTTCGGGAAGCTTCTGGGAACACGTGTTTCCTGTGAGGACTTCTCCTGCCCTCAGCTCTGGTCCTCGGGGGAGAAGCGGTGTTGTCCATGGTGGAGGGGCAGAGGGGGCTAGTCCGGGATCTCAGGGAAGAGGAGGGGGCATTTGCCCCTAGGAGGTACCGAGGTATCCTCTGTACGGCACCCGTGCCACCCCCACAACGGGAAATGGAAGCCGGGGCTCAAGTTGGACCCAACTTGATCAAGGTCACCTGCTAGGAAGTGGTACATGTGGGACCTGAAGCAGGTACGACCGCAGAGCCTGAGCGTGGGACCCTGCTGCCAGCCGAAAGCAAAAGATATCCATATCCAGCCGGGCTCGGTGGCTCAGCCTGTAATCCCGCACCTTTGGGAGGCTGAGGTGAGTGGATTGGTGAGCCCGTGGGTTCGAGACCCGCCTGGGCAACTTGGCGAGACCTCATCTCTACAATAAATCAAAAATGAGCCGGGCATGGTAGCGTGCGCCTGTAGTTCCAGCTACTTGGAAGGCTGAGGCAGAAGGATCGCCAGAGCCCAGCAGGTCAAGGCCGCGGTGGCTGGGAGCGGCCACTGCACTCCAGTCTGGGTGACAGAGTGAGACTCCAACTCAAAAAAAAAAAAAGATATCCTGGGATCCACCTCTCCCTGCGTCCCTCTGGCCAACTCCCCGCCTGACTCTCATGGCTGGCTGTCCCCTGAGAGGGACTATGGCCTCCGTCAGCAGGTCGAAAGCCCAGCCGAGCAGCTTCCAGAGGCTCGAGAGAATGTTCACGCACAGGCCCGAAGCCCAGGTCATCCCCTCCATGCGGTTCCCAAAACCTCCCGGCCCCCGGGCCTGTTCCTGCCATGACCTCGGACCCTGCACAAGCTGGGCTGTGCGACCTGCTGCTATTTTTAGAGGCACAAAAGGCTAAGAGGATAATGTCGTCTCCCTCCTGGGACGGAAGGAGGTGTCCGTGCCAAGGCTATGCCGGGAAGGGTCCCAGCGCTGGGTCTGGGAAGGAGAAGCGCTCTCCAGGGACCGCCCCACAAAGGCCAAGCCCAGAGCCAGCAGGAGGTAAGCGGCACTTCTGCCAGGCCAGACTGCAAGGCTGAGAGTCCACTGTGTGGGGAGGGGGGCATGGGAAGAGACATCCTGGAGAGGGACACCGCCCCTCACTGGTTGTGTGACCCCAGGCAAGCCGGGGAACCTCCCACTCAGCCTCCGTTTCCCTGAACGACCTCCACGATCTCTGCACTCCAGACCCTGATGGAGCACAGGAGTCCTAGTCTGTCTCTTATGGCTGTGAGACCAAGGGCAAGTCTCTGCCCTTCACTGCACCTGTTTCCACCTGTCTGATGAGGCATGACCTACCCTGCAAAGCTCTCACAAGAACTGGCTCGAAGTGCTCCCGTACAGAGCCGGCACCCAGTCAGCCCTCAATACCTGGCAGTCTCTGCGATAATCACAACTATTTCCCCACTCAGGAAAAAGACGCAGGAAGTGGAGGGAGCCGAGGGTGGGTGCCCAGAATTGCTGGCTGCCGGCCTGGGTCTGCCCTTCCCTTCCCTTCCCAAGAATCCTCTCTCCCAGAAAGAAAGAGCAAAGACAGGAACACCGGGAAGGCAGAGCAGAGGGCGTGGTGGGAGGTTGGAGGGGCAGGTGCACGGGACCGGGCGGGGCGGAGTCCGACTCACTCGTTGGTCATCTGCACCACCTTCTCGATGGCTGTGTAGCCGGCCGCCATGAAGTGCTCCGTGTACTGCTGCATCTTGATGGACTCCAGCCACTCGGACACCGTGCGGAAGGGCACCCCCTCGGAGCCACTGGTGCTGGGTAGCCGGATGGACACCCTACCACAGGAACCACTGCTGATGAGGGGCTGTGGCACCCAGCCCACCCCAGGCCCCGAGGCTGTTGCTCCCTAACCTGGGCAATCCGTTTGGATGCCCTGCGCCTCTGTTTCCTCATCTGGGCAACGGGGACGTCAAGTCGAGGTTACAGTGAGACAGCCTGGCACACTGGGGGCACTCAGTGTCTATGACGACTGCTGCCTGCCACTCCTACTAACAAGACACTACCGGTAACCACCAAGTCATGAGACACCACGGGCAGAGGTTCAGGATCCTGGGGCTGGCCACTTGCCAGCTGTGTAAAATACGTAACAGGCTTGTCTTCGTTTCCTCATCTACAAAGAGGGAATCATTGTAGGACCCATCCCATAGGTTTGGCTTTGTTTTATTTTGAGTCAGGATCTCATTCTGTTGACCAGGCTGGAGTGCAGTGGCACAATCATGGCTCGCTGCAGCCTCGACCCCCTGGGCTCAAGCAATCTTTCTATCTCAGCCTCCCAAGTAGCTGGGACTACCATGCCCGGCTAATTCTTTCCATTTTTTTTGTGGAGATGAGGTCTCACTATGTTGTCTAGGCTGGTCTCAAACTCCTGGGCTCAAGCAATCCTCCCACCTCAGCCCCCCTAAGTATTGGGATTACAGGCGTGAGCCACTGCACCCGGCCCCGTAGGTTATTTAAATAAGCTACAACACATTAATAAGCATGTGAGCCAGGTGTGGTAGTTCACATCTGTGATCTCAGCACTTTGGGAGGTGAAGGAGAGAGGATTGCCTGAGCTCAGGATTTTGAGACCAACCTGAGCAACGTGGCGAGACCTCGCCTCTACAATAAATAAAAAAATTAGCGGGCGTGGTAGCGCGTGCCTGTAGTTCCAGTTACTTGGAAGGCTGAGGCAGAAGGATCGCCTGAGCCCAGCAGGTCAAGGCTGCAGTGGCCATGAGTGTACCACTGCACTCCAGTCTGAGTGACAGAGTGAGACAACTCAAAAAATAAATAAATAAAAATAAAAATAAAATAAGCGTGTGCCTGGCACAGAGGTCGGCTGCTTCCATCAGCATTCCCAGAGCCACCCTGTCCAGTCTAAGCTCAGCCCGCGTATCCCCTCTGAGCCCCTCCGCCCCCACTTCCCCTGCTGGTCACTCTATCAGTGTGCCTTGGGAGTCTGCGGGAGGGAAGCTGGGTGGTTGTGGAACCTACCGGGGGTCGAAGTCAGCCAGGGTCTTGAGGGAGTCGGGGGCGCGGATGAGCTTGTCCAGGATGCTGACGATGTCGGCGAATTTGGGACGGCGGGCGCGCTCCTGTTGCCAGCACTGCATCATGAGCTGGTAGATGGCAGAGGGGCAGTCCATGGGCGTGGGCAGCCGGAAGCCGTCATTGATAGCTTTCATCACCTGGAGGGAATGCCACGGTCAGGGGCGCCACAGCAGGAGGCCACGGAGACCTCCTGCAGCGAGGCCTGCTGGGAGGTCCCTGGCCTTGGAGGCAGGTGGGGGACAGAGTGGAAAGAGACAGACGAGAGGAGCCTTTCTTGACAGTCAGCCTTCAGAGCTACCGAGAGACGAGTGCCCAGGGGCTGTCCCCAGAGCTCCAGGGAGGAAGGGACTCCGGACCAGCTCCCTCCCAGGGCACTCAGATGGCACCACATTGTGTGCTCCCACCCAGCCTTCCCCCCGTCTCCCTCCCCACTCCTTCCCTTTACCCAGCTACCCTACCATGCCCTTGGCCCTTGACCTCACAGAGACATGACCTCCTCCGGGAAGCCTCCCAGGCCACCAGGCTGAGTGAGGCACCAGACACACAGACACGCACGCACACACTGACACACACACACACACCCCCCACTCCTCGTTTCCTTGTCTCTGCACTCTCGGGACTTAAGCAGGGACCAGGGCCTGGAACCCAGCACGAGGCCGGGCTCGCGGCAGTCCCTCTCTAAACATTTACTGACCGAACCACAGACTGGTCTGGACCAAATGAAGAGTAAACTCAAAGCTGGGGCTTGGGAATGCGTCCAGGGTCCCGGCAGGCCTGGGGAGGGCAGGGGACTCACTTCGTGGTTCGACAGCTCCCAGTAGGGCCGCTCGCCGTACGTCATCACCTCCCACATGACGATGCCATAGCTCCACACGTCGCTGGCCGAGGTGAACTTGCGGTAGGAAATGGCCTCCGGCGCCGTCCAGCGGATGGGGATCTTGCCGCCCTGCAGGGGACCCGGGGCCCAGTCACCGCCGTCCCCCCCCAGCGGGTCCCAGTCTCACCACAGCCAGGCCTCAGAGCCCCTCCTCACACTCCTACAGGCCTACTCACCTCCTGAAGCCCATGCCCAGGTGTGCACAGGCCCTGGGCAGGGTGAAGGCTGCTTCCTCCCTGACCCTCCCCCCGCCGCATGACGGCCCCTCCCGCACTCACACTGGTGGTGTAGGTAGCCTCGGGGTCATCCTCCAGCACACGGGACAGCCCAAAGTCAGACACCTTGCAGACCAGGTTGCTGTTGACGAGGATGTTGCGGGCGGCCAGGTCGCGGTGAACATAGTTCATGTTGGCCAAATACTTCATGCCGGCCGCGATGCCCCTGAGCATGCCCACCAGCTGCAGCACGCTGAACTCGCCGTCCTTCTCCTGCCGGGGCACAGTGCTCAGCCGCCAGCCAGCCCCGAGCCCCCCGGGGTGCCCCAGGCACGGGCACTGCATCCCTGCCCGCATGGCCCACATCCTTACCCGGAGAAACTTGTCCAGGGCCCCGTTCTCCATGAATTCCGTGATGATCATCATGGGCTTATCTGGAGAGGGAGGGGCACAGGTGAGAGGTAGGTGGGCACAGGGGCCAGGGGGGTGTGGGCACAGACACGGAGGAAGCCCTGGCCGGTGGCCCCTGTGGGCAGCACCCGCCCCCCGTCCCTCTGCGGGCCAGGGCCCTGAGGGCCTTCCAGGCCTCACATTTGGAGACGACGCCCTCCAGGCGGATGATGTTGTGATGGCTGAACTGGCCCATGATGCTGGCCTCGCTGAGGAAGTCCACGCGCTGCTTCTCCGTGTAGCCGGCCTTCAGTGTCTTGATGGCCACCGGCACCTCCTTCTTCCCTGAGGATGCTTTCAGTGTGCCCCTGTACACCTCCCCAAACTCTCCTGTGGCAGGTAAGGTGAGGGGCGCCCCAGTCAGCCCCGGTGCAGGGGTGGGGGCTCCCGACTCGTACCGCCCCGCCCGCTCCTCAGGGCCCCTCGGCCGGGGCACCAACCTCACCAGGTGCGCCCACCTCACCTGCTCCGATCACCTTCTGCCGAGTGACACAGGACGGATGGATCTCGGTGGTGAACTTGAGCACAGCCTGGTTGGGGTCCTCGTAGGTGTGGGGGTCCACATATGTCTTCAGGGGCTTCAATTGTTCTGGAAAGGGAAGCAGGTGGGTCACAGACAGCTCAGGAGGGATCCCAAGCAAAGGCGGAGGTGGTCACATGACCAGGGACCTCAGGAGACTCAGCCCAGGCTGTGGCGCACGAACCGTCTGGCTCGGCACCTTAGAGCTGCCCATGGAAGCCTCTGGGCCCCACCCCCAGTGCCCTGGGAACACGCTGGCTGCCCCTACACCTCTGCCACAGAGCTAGAGAGGCTTCTGGGGACAGTGGGGGCAGGGCTGGGCTGGGAGGGAGGCTGCGTCTCACCTGACTTGGAGAAGTAAACGTCCTCTGGGGACTGGCGGGCACGTTGACTCTTCCTCCTGAAACAACCGCACGGGGAACACAGGGGAGGTCAGCGAGGCCTGTGCTGGTGGCCAGGGAGACTCCTGACCCTGCTCTGACCCTGAGCGGGGTTTGGTGTGCACAGCTCGCTGCTCCCACCCTCGGAGCAGAGCAGGGAGAGTACCTAAGCAACCCAGGACCCACTCCTTGGGATCTACACACCATAATGGCCCCTTAAGTAGCCATAACGAGGACTTTCCTCGTTAGTGCTACCCCACGCTTCCTGCCTGGATGTCCAGAGGAGGTGTGGACACTTTGTGAATAACAAGGGTAGAGATGGCCAGGCTCAGTGGCTCAGCCTGTAATCCCACACTTTGGGAGGCCGAGGCGAGTGAATTGCCTGAGCCTGTGGGTTCAAGACCCGCCTGGGCAACTGGCGAGACCTATCTCTACAATAAATCAAAAATTAGCCGGGTGTGGTAGCACACGCCTGTAGTTCCGGCTACTTGGAAGGCTGAGGAGGAAGGATCGCCGGAGCCCAGCAGGTCGAGGCTGCGGTGGTCGGGAGCATGCCACTGCACTCCAGTTTGGGCGACAGAGTGAGACTCCAACTCAAAAAAAAAAAAAAAACCGAGGGCAGAGATAATGCCCACCGTGTCCCAAGCCCCTACACGCACTCACAGTTCATTCTATCTTCCCACCCTCTGGAGGCAGGAATTAGATTAGGCTAGATTGGGCTAAGATTAGATGACTACCAGCCCACTGCTCAGATAAGGAAAGGGAGGGCTCTGCCCCTGTGTCCCACTTAAGCCCTGCGAAGCCCGGGTGTGGGCTCTGACAAACCTGCGGTAGATGAAAAAGCCGATGCCCGCCAGCACCAGAAGCAAGAACACACAGACGGCCACGCCGCCAATCACCGCCATGTTGCCAGATCCTTCCGGGGCTGTTGGGGGAGACCAGTTAGTGACAAGGGAGCCCCCCTCCCCCAACAAACCTCAGCTACCCCTCTATGTCACCCAAGGCCCACGTTAGGGACCCAAGACCCCTACTACGTGCTGGGTGCTTTTACTCTCGAAGGCTCAAGAGGACATTTATTTCCATTTCACACATGGTCAGTGAGAAGAGGCGTCACAGTAGGTATTCTCAGGCATGTGGGACTCTAAGTGCTGGCTCTTTCTGGGATGCGGATTTGAACTTGGGCCTGCCAACGCCAGAGTCCACATCCCACCTCCTCATAGCCCTCGACTCCTCCCCCTCCCTGGGCTTGGGCCCAGCCCACCCAGGGCTCTCCCAAGGCCCCACTGACCGGGACGGGGGGCATTCTAAGTTCTCTGACCCACGTCCTGCCCCCAGATGTCTCACCGCTCGGCTTCAGGGCCCTGGCCCAGCCCGCCCTGGCCCCCGACTCACACAGCGTCTGGAACTCGTGTATCTTGCTGCCGGCCCCCTGGCCCTCCTGCGTCAGTGCCTGCACCTGGACCAGGTAGATGGTGTCCGGAGCCAGGTCGTCCAGGGTCACGGAGAAGCCCTCGGTGCGGCGCACGTTGTAGCTGTTGGCATCTCCCTGCGGGGACCGGTGAAGGGGCAGACAGTGAGGGCAGGCAGGGCCTAGGCTCAGCCCCCCGGAGACCACCCAGCCAGCCAGGCAGCTCCACCACATGAGCACGCCCGAGGCTCTTCTTACAGGAGGAAACTGAGGCTCTGGAGTGAAGCGACCCACTTGAGCAAATGCATGGCCAGGACTCAACCCAGGCATGTAGTCCCAAAGCCCCTGCCCTGGCCCCTACCCTGACCGCCTCTCCCAAGGATCCAGACAGCATGTCTTCTTCTCTCCTTACAAATCTCAGTCGTGCTACCCTGGGAGAGGGGACTCCCTGGGAGAGCCCAGGCCTCAGTTTCCCCATCTGCAGGAGCGTCCACAGATGGCTGTGTGGTGCGGTGGCATCCGCGTGACTGACCCTGGCCCCCTGGGAGTTACCTTCTTGCGGTAGGTGACCTCGTACTTCCACACGCGGCTCTGCTGCGGTGGGGGTAGGCTCCAGGCCACACTCAGCGACGTGGTGCTGCGGCCCTCCAGCCTCACCTTGGGGGGCTCTGGACGGGACGGTGGGGGAAGGGGTGTGAGGGGCCGCCTGGGCGTAGGCAGCCAGTGGGGGGACAAGCAGAGCCAGAGCCAGTTCCCCCTACAGTCCAGGCTCCGAGATCCCAACCTGGCATCCCAAACATCCAGCTCCAGAGCACAGGGTCCCAGGCCCCCACCACGGGGGCTCGCACATCAGTGAGGGCCTGGGAATTTTTTGAGTCAGGATCTCACTCTGTCACCCAGGCTGGAGTGCAGAGGCACAATCATGGCTCCCTGTAGCCTCGACCTCCTGGACTCAGGTGATCCTTTTGCCTCGGCCTCCCAAGCAGCTGGGACTACAGGCGTGCACCACTACGCCCAGCTAATTTCTGGTTTTTTTTATAGCAATACGGTCTCGCTATGGTGCCCAGGCTGGTCTTGATCTTCTGGACTCAAGCAATCCTCCCACCTCGGCCTCCCAAAGTGCTGGGATTATAGGCGTGAGCCATTATGCCCGGCCTCTCATGATTATTCACAAGTGTACAAATCATAAAAATAAAAGAATAGCTGACTTTTGCTGAACTGTTTGTAGATCAGGCACTGTCCCAAGAGCTTTATCATCCTTTATTTATTTGTTTGGTTTTTTTTGTTTTGTTTTGTTTTTGTTTTGAGTTGGAGTCTCACTCTGTCGCCCAGGCTGGAGTGCAGTGGCACGCTCACGGCTACTGCAGCCTCGACCTGCTGGACTCCGGCGATTCTTCTTATTTTTATATTTATTGTAGAGACAGACGAGATCTCACCAAGTTGCCCAGGCTGGTCTCAAACCCAAGCTCAGGCAATCCTCTTACCTCGGCCCCCCAAAGTTCTGGGATTACAGGCTTGAGCCACCATGCCCGGCCTATCATCCTTTATCAAATTCTCCATGATAATCATACTTAATAGGTGAGAACCAAGGCCCAGAGAAGCTAAGTAATGAGCCCGTGGTCACAGAGCTCAAAAGTGACTCTAGAGACTATAGTTTGACCTGTTGCTCTGCTCTTTCTCTGAACACAGCCAGGCCCTGGGTGGCCGTCCTCTTTCAATGCCACCCAGGCAGGCCCCACAGGACACAGCCGCCACCCCGGGCCTCACCCGTCTGGTTGATGCTGACGCTGGCTGTCCGGAAGCTGCGGCTGGTCACCAGGCCTGAGACGCCATTGCGGGCCTCCACGGTGAAGGTATAGTTCATGTGAGGCTCCAGGTCACTGACCGTCACGCTGGTGCGGGTCAGCATGTGCGGAGGCTCCGAGTAGCGCACGGTGGCCTCACAGGGCCCGCACTCCCCGGACTCGGGCCAGCACTGCTCACAGGTGACACTGTAGGTGATGTCCTCACGGCCTCCACTGTCCTGCGGGGGCGTCCAGCGCAGCTCCACCCTGGCGCCCATGCCCACGGCCGTGAGGTAGGGAGGAGCGGACGGCGGGCCTGCACGGAGGGGAGAGGTCAGGGCTCAGCTGGACCTGGGCAGCCCGCACATGGCACCCTCTGTCACCCCACCCAGGCCCACTGGAGACTCACGTGTGCAGGGCATCGACAGTGGGTCCTTGGGTGCCCGGAAGTAGCCTTCATCACACTCACAGGATGTGGCACCCTCGGGAGATGGCAGTGTGTGTTCAGGGCACTCCAGGCAGGGGCTCTCAGATGCCTCAAACTTAAAGAATCCAGGCGAGCAGGCTGGTGGTGGGCACAGGACAAACAGGGTACAGGGACATCAGTTCGGCCTGCTCCCGCCCCAAGCTACTGTTCTGCCCTTCACTGCCCCCCACCCACAAGTTGACACATCCCCGTGGACCTGTTTTCTCATTGGCTAAGTGTCTTGTGATGGGAAAATGTGTCAAGCACCTAGCGTGCACTGGGCACCCAGGAAGTGCCTCACCCATGAGCTGCAAACTCATGCCCCGAGCCTGGCATTCAGGGCCACATCTCACTTTTCAGAATTCTATCGCACACCTGGCTCAGCACTGGACCGAGCACGCTGCCCACCTGCCTTGTCACCTTTAATCTGTGCAGACCAGCCCATCGGGTCTGCCTGGACAGCTGCGAACTGAGGGGACATCTCAGCTGGGCTTCAGAGGCTGTGTAGGAGTTTACCAGAGCAATGACTGCCTCTTCTTGATCGTGTGTGTATATGTGTGTGTTGACTGACTGTCACCACCGGCCTCAATGCTTCAGGATATCATTCCTGCAGGTGTTCCTCAACCCCAGGACCTGCCTGCCTTCCTGTTCCGGGGCTGGTCGACCAGGAAGCAGGAAAGGCCAGGCCCCCGGCATTTTCTCTGGCTCTGCTTCCAGGGCCGAGTCATGTCTGTGGCTCACAAGGGCAGTCAGGAAGTGGCTCTTCCTCCCCGGTGGCTCGTTCTGTCCTGGCCCGTTCAGCTGGGGGCTCAGGCACCTGACTCTGGGGGCTTCTTCCTCCCACCACCCTATCCTGCCCCTGCCTCAAGCCCCTTCCTGGCCACACAGGCAGGAAGCTGCCCAGACACAGGGGTCACTGTGCAGGGCTGGCCATGGCTCGGGCAGCTGCTGAGGTGGCCAGAGTGGGTTGAGGTCACCCCAGAGACCTCCGCCCACAGCCCTCCAATTACGCCTTCAGCTTATTCTGAGGCGAGGGTCCTGAGACACCGTCAACCTCAGGACACACACTGAGGCTCGAGTCTGTGCCTGGCCCCACACTGGGCATGCATGAGATGAAAGCAAAGCCTCTGAATTCAGGCGGCAGGAGCACCTGACAGGGTCCTCGAAAAAGGGCTGGGAAAAGGGCTACGGACTAGAGAAGGGGAAACAACCTTGGCCAGGGGTCTGAGGAGTCACAGAGCGAACATTTCAGCTGGGGTTTAGGGGCTATGTAGGAGTTCAGCAGGGGAGAGATATGGGGAAAGGGAATTAGGAATGAAAAGACGCATGACCGATACAGCAAGCATGAGGGACTTTGTGAGCACAAAAAAGGGGAGAAGCAGGCAATAAGACAGTCGAGGAAGGCCCTGAGTGCCAGGCTAAGAAGCTGGGACTTTATCCGGGGGCAGTGGAGAGCCATGGAAGGTCTGATGTGGGGGAACTTGTACCGTGAGATCTGCAGTGTCAGGGAAAATTCTCAGGCCAAGGCTGCCTGGAAGAAGACCCAGGGGCAGCCTGGGTTCCAATGGCCTAAGGCCAGGAGAGCCAGTCTCAAGTGTCCTGGCCCAAGCAGGCCTGCTCACCCTTGAGGCTGGGTCCTGGGGTCAAGACCTCTTCGTCCAGTCCCCTGTGTAAGGAGAGGTGGGGAGGGGGGCTGGGAGTCAGGGGGACAAGGCTCAGAGGCCATTCAGCTCTGTAAGGTCCCGGATGGTGACTTCCTATCCATGACTTTGCTCACAGAGTAGGCGACACCCCAACCTCTCCCCACCCTGGCCAGGGGCCACACACACAGCCTCTCCCACCCCCTCGGGTTGCAGGGAGACGGGCTTGTCCAGCCTACGCAGACAGGACCTGCCTCCTACTGTATACAGAGCCTGGAGCCCCAGTGATGGTGATGCTTAATGAGAACCTACTATGTGCAGGGCCCGGGCCGAGCACTCTACGTTCATTTAGTCCTCACAATCTGCATTCCGCTTTGGAGGTGAAGGAACGGCCGCTCAGAGGCAAAGCCACCTGTCCCAGGTCTCTGAGCTTAAGACAGGAAATCAAGACTCAAATGGAGGACGCCTGACTGAGTCTCCCTCCTTTGGCACCTCTGTGCGTAGAAACAGCTCCGTTTGGAAGCCGGGCTCGGTGGCTCAGCCTGTCATCCTGCGCCTTTGGGAGGCTGAGGTGGGTGGATTGCCTGAGCCCGTGGGTTCGAGACCC